GATCACAGAACAGACCCGCTCCGGGCACCACCGAACCAAACTGGATTTGAAGTGGTGATCTAAAGGTGAGATGCCTCATAACCAGCTTCTTCTCAAACTTTGCCATCTTCCCGGCTCCTCCTTTGCTCCTTCCCTGGGCTGTTTAAAACCATGGAAAGCCACTGAAACTGCTTAGAAAAGGTTTTGTGTTTAATGGGATATTTGCCAGCAAATTCAAGCCACGAACACTATATATTTCTTTATTTGTAAAGGTGTTTGAAGTCCTTGCATTTACCCTTTGGCCACCTTAAATCTAGTTTCTAATCCCCAGCGCAGTTAATCAAATCCACAGTGGTTTGAATTATGAGATGTCTGGGGGGAATTTATAGCTTGTATTGCTGATTATACCTTGACTTTATTATATTGCAAATATCTAACTTATGGTCATGGCTGAGATTTACAATCCTCAGGTAGGTGCTTAGAATAACTTTTAGCAACTCCAAATGTAATTGGAGGTGACTGATGGGGCTGTCAATACAGATAAACATGTAATCTATAAAATGTTAATGCTCTTAAGGCAGGGATAAAGGAGGCAGAATAGGTGAAAATGGTGGAGCAGTCTTCAAAAGAAGAAAAACTGGGAATATTGCTGAGCAAGACTCCAAGATAGCTGGTTTGGCTGAGGCATCCCTGCCCAGGAGGGAGTTCTGGGTTTTTGGTCTCCAGCAGGTATCAAAAAGGGAGATCTTTGTTCCTTTGCGCTCTCACCCAGAAGGTTTTTAGGGTTTCACATAGCCATGGGGAAGAGAGAAGGGAAATTAGGCAGAAGTCCCAGATACTCACAGAGCTGATCCCTCTGGATGGTGGCGCCGTCCAGGTGATGTGGGTGATGCCTTCCCCGCTGCAGGGCTCGTGAGGAACTCTCCCCAGTTTGGCCGGGAGGCCCACACAGAGTCCCTGCGTTTGCTGCCATCCGCATCCAGCCCCAGGCGGGTCACACAGGGCCTCAGGGAGCCACAGAGCATCTTGTGCACAGCTCTTCCCAGCCTGACCTGCAGTTTCTCCCCTGCCCTCCTGTCTCCGAGGAGCAGCGAGTCCCGCGTGGGCACGTGTTCCTCGGCCAGCATGACAAGTGAGGTGGTGGAGAACGAGTTTGAGTTTTACTCCAAAGCGGAGAAGTACTGGAAGGACGTGCCCGCCACGGTGGACGGCATGTTGGGGGGCTACGGCCACATCTCCAGCATTGACATCAACAGCTCCAGGAAGTTCTTGCAGAAATTTCTACGGGTAGGTAGCACGGCTGTGCTCCAGCTTATCCATGAGCTGAAGGTCGTGGTCTAGCATGCTTCCAAAGTCCTGTCCTTCTCCCAGCCCAGAGCTGGGCTCTTCCTGTTTAGATGGGATCCTCCATTTCCCACATGATGCAAGAGCTTTGCTGTGCAGTAGGTTCCCCAGGCTGCAGGGCTGAGCCAGTCTGCAGGCAACACCATCCCTGTCCATCAGGGAACAACCGCCTGCCAGCCAGCCAGGGCTTCAGCAAAGGAGTCTCATCACGAATGAGACAGAGCAGCTGAGACCCATGCAGCCCACGGAGCCTGTACCTTCCTGCTGCGGCCATGCTGTGGCCCATGGGGCTGCAGCCCACCGTGCTGCAGCCCTAAGCCTCGGTCGCCCCATTTCTCCACCACGTGCCCTGGGCACCTCATGGGGTGTGATTCATGCCCTCGTGGTTGTCGTTCCAGGATGGTCCCAACCGGACGGGGACAACATGTGCTCTGGACTGTGGGGCGGGCATCGGTCGGATCACCAAGCGGCTGCTGCTGCCCCTCTTCAAGACCGTGGACATGGTGGACGTGACAGAGGATTTCCTCACCAAGGCCAGGAGCTACCTGGGAGAGGAGGGCAGGCGGGTGCGAAACTATTTCTGCTGTGGCCTCCAGGACTTCAGCCCCGAACCCAACTCCTACGACGTCATCTGGATCCAGTGGGTCATTGGTGAGAGCTGCTTGCTTTGCAGGGCCCTCACCGGCCCGTCCGATGACTGGCTTCCCTCAAAGGGCTGGTGCCTCACCCATCAAGGAGGGTTTTTGGGGAGGAGAGCACAAAGACTGCTGTAATGACGAGCGTGGCAGCAGCGCCATGGGCTGGGTCAGGAACCTGCATCCCCACTCCCTGCCCCACACAGGGTGAATAGGAGGGCACTGCCAAACCCTTGGGGGCCAGAGCAGAGGTGCGGGTGGGATGGAGCGGGATAGAGCCCATGGGACACAAGTTAGACATCCCCAAGCTAAAGATTTCACTAGCAGCAAACAGCTCACATGTTTGGCTGCCTGGATCAGGAGGGATCCCAGCAGCAGCCTCCCCTTCTCCTCCCCTCATACGACACGCTGCCCAGCGGTCCTGCCCCACAGGGATCCTGCCCCTGGTCATCCTGCGCTCACTCAGCACCTTCTAACACCTGCTCTGTCCCTCCAGGACACCTCACCGACAACCACCTCTCCGACTTCCTGAAGAGGTGCCGCGCCGGCCTGCGGCCCAACGGCATCGTGGTCATCAAGGACAACATGGCTCAGGAGGGTGTGATCATGGACGATGTGGACAGCAGCGTCTGCCGGGATCTGGACGTGGTGCGCAAGATCATCCGCCGGGCTGGGCTGCACCTCCTGGCTGAGGAGCGCCAGGAGAACTTCCCTGATGAGATCTACCACGTCTACACCTTCGCCATGAGATGAAGGCAGCCAGTGGCAGCAGGGAGGTCTCTCCTGGGCCAGCTCGGAGCACAGGCCCAGCACAGGCGGTTCCTGCCAGGGCCGGGAGGGACGAGGACTGCGCCTTCACCGCGGGTGGTGGACGGCAGCGAGGGTGTCGTGACTCCCTCTTTGTGGTGCTGGTGGCAAGGACGGGGCTTTGTCTTCCAAGTTGCTGCTGTTTGTGAAAAGAGATGTTTGCCAAATACATTTTCCTGCTGTTGCACTTCTGCACGTGGCCTCTGTCAGATGCAACGTGTTTGCCTGATGCCGTGCTTGGGGGCTCTGCAGGCGGGTGCCTGACATCTCTGGGAGCAAGAGGGTCCCCCCTGCAAGAGCTGTGCTGTGCTCCCCGTGCACCAGTGGGTTGCTGACTGCAGTCAGTCAGGGCTCCCTGCTAGCAAACAGGAGCTTGGAGCATCCCTGCAGCGGTTGGGACTCTCCTTTCCTTGCTAGGACGTTTGACTTTCCCACTCGTGAACTCATTGTTGCCTATCTGCTGCTGCTCACAGGCAGGCCAGGGCTTAAGTCAGCAACAGGTTGGGTATGGCAAGGAGAAATCCCTGCTATTTGCCTTAAGGCAGATTGGGGAGGTAAAAATCAGGTTCTGGGGCTCTGCAGGGCATCTCCTTTAAACCCGACAGGTCTCCCACATATGCCAGCAACACAGGAGACGGATGTGAGCTGGGCCAGGGTCCCCCCATCCTGCTCCAGGGACAGGGCTATCCCAGGCAAGGCTGTGCCTTTCCTCCAAAGAGGCAGCTGAAATGCTTGATCAGTCCCAGCGACCTAGGGGGAGAGCCATCACGCTCTGGGCATTAACAGGGAACCAGCTCCTGGGCCCAGCCCTGAGGAGCAGATTTTGGGGCCACCCACCCCGCAGGGACAATTGGGTCCATACCAGCTATGGTCCCTCAGTAGGGGCACTTTGGGCTGCTATGTTGTAAAGTGACTCCAAGCCCCCATGTCAGTGGGGACAGGGCAGGTTCCTCGAGGGCAATTTGGAGCAGGCAGACTGCGTCCACTGCCTGGAGCAGGAGCCACCACTGCTAATGCCTGCTCTGAGCTGCCTTTGGACCCTCCAGCCCGTTATCACAGGCTCACGCTGACAGCTAGCACGCCTGCTCGAATCCTGCAGTGCTAGAGCTGCTCCCCCTCAACACCCAGCGCTGTTATCCCAAGAGCCAGGCACTAGCTTCAAACACGCCTGTTACCTCCAGATAATTTTGCCCGAGTCTGACCACAAAATTGTGCCAACCTAACACGATACAACAGCGGCCCAATGGCTAACGTCAGGTGGGCTAACCCACGCGCAGACCCCGGCTACAACATTTCTCGCCGGTTGGGCTTACATGCAGCCACGTCCAATTCCTCCGCATCTGAGAGGAAACTGCCAGGTGAGGAGCAGGCAGCCCCAGAGCGCTCTCCCCCACCCAGCCTCTCCCGCAGAAGAAACCAACCCCTTGTTGCTATTATAAAAGGCCTCGTTTAATTGCTCGTTTTCCATTCCAGACACCAGGGGAGTATGTGATCACATAATTTTTTCTTAAACACCAACTCATCAGGATGTACAGCTCCAACTCCGTGGGGTGGGAAAAGGTTAAAAAATAAATGCTGCCAGGAGGGCAACGTGAGGAAGCAACCCTTCTACAACCAGGCTTCACCTGTGGATCCAAGGCCCATCTGCTATAAACTGTACCTGCTCAGAGTAGATTTTTCCTCTCTTAGTCCTCTTCTGCATCTGTTCCCCACGGCAAAAAAAAAAAAAAAAAAAAAAAAAGTTAAAACCAAAGGGGGCTCCGATTTGGCACCCCACAAG